GGCCCTAACCTTCCCCATTCGCACAAAGTTAAACACCCATATAGGACTTTGTACAACCTCTGTGCACAAAGTTAAACACCCATATAGGACTTTGTGCACAGAGGTTGTTCTTGTTTGGGTGCCTCCTTCTTGGGTTCTTGTTTGGGTGCCTCCTGCTCGGGTTCCTCCTGTTTGGGTGCCTCCTTCTTGGACTGTTCTTGTTTGGGTGCCTCCTTCTTGGGTAATTCTTGTTGGGGTGCCTCCTGCTTGGGTTCCTCTTGTTTGGGTGCCTCCTTCTTGGGTTGTTCTTGTTTGGGTGCCTCCTTCTTGGGCTCTTCTTGTTTGGGTGCCTCCTTTGATTGCTCTTGTTTGGGTACTTCTTTCTTGGGTTGTTCTTGTTTGGGTGCCTCCCTCCTGGGTTGTTCTTGTTTGGGTGCCTCCTTCTTGGGATCTTCTTGTTTGGGTGCCTCCTTCTTGATTGCTCTTGTTTGGGTGCTTCCTTCTTGGGTTGTTCTTGTTTGGGTGCTTCCTTCTTGAGCTCTTCTTGTTTCAGTGCTTCTTTCTTGGGCTCTCCTGTCTTAGGTACTTCCTTCCTGGGTTCTTCTTTCTTGAGTACTTGTTGTTTGGGTGCCTCCTTTTTTGGTTGCTCCTGTTTGGGTGCTTCTTTCTTAGGCTCTTCTTGTTTGTGTACTTCTTTCTTGGGCTCTTCTCGTTTGGGTGCTTCTTTCTTGGACTCTTCTTTCCTGGGTACTTCCCTCTTGGATTCTTCTTTCTTGGGTGCTTCCTTCTTGGACTCTTCTTTCTTAGATGTTTCCTTCTTGGACTCTTCTTTCTTGGGTGCTTCTTTCTTGGGTGTTTCCTTCTTGGGCTCTTCTTTCTTGGGTGCTTCTTTCTTGGGCTCTTCTTGTTTGTGTGCTTCTTTCTTGGGCTCTTCTCGTTTGGGTGCTTCTTTCTTAGGCTCTTCTTTCCTGGGTGCTTCCCTTTTGGATTCTTCTTTCTTGTGTGCTTCCTTTTTGGGATCTTCTTTCTTGGGTGCTTCCTTCTTGGATTCTTCTTTCTTGGGTGCTTCTTTCTTAGGCTCTTCTTTCCTTGGCTCTTCCCTTTTAGATTCTTCTTTCTTGGGCTCCTCCCTCTTGGGCTCCTCTTTCTTGGGTACTTCCTTCTTGGGTACTTCCTTCTTGGGTTCTTCTCTCTTTGGTTCTTTTTGAGCAGGTTCAGCACCTGTGAAAACAAGGGAGTCAGTGGAAAGAGGGGAGTTATTGGAACCTAGTGATTCAAACACTGGATTTCATGGGAATCTAGTGATTCAAACACTGGATTTCAATGCATGTATGTTAAGGTTGAGACTTATTACCTAATATTAGCTTGATTTATTCAGTTTGCCACAAGGGTCACTGACAGGTTCATTATCAGACACTGAGGAAAAGCAAAGAAAATATGAAGCATGATTCAAATCTCTGACCTTACCCAACAGGTGTTCTATTAATCTTGCTACAGTTAATTTTTCTTAGCTTACAAACAAAAACAGATTCCACCGAATGGTTTGACTGACCAAACTGCACAAAACTATTTTTTTTGAAAATCTTAATCTTGTTTGTCCATTTCGAACTCAAAACCAAAGCTACATATCCGTTACCTTTGTCAGCTGTTTGCGGCTCAGGGGTTAGATTGACCGTTTCCGCAGATTTTTTGAAAAGTGGCAGCTTATCACTTCCTGTCAAAAAATGGAAAAATAGCAGTTTGCTTTCAAAATACCCACCAGTAAATGTTATTTATATCTTGCAATATCTTGCATCTCAATGTACAGGTACATGTACATGACTGTAGTTGCTTAACTGGGTTCTGAGGTTCCCCCCAAAAGTTAGCAGACTTTACAAAATTAAAGATGTACTAACGCACACAATGATGGCCAAATCTTACAACTTCAATTTTATCACATTGCCTATCGTGCATAATTTTAAAGGGGGCATTTTGATTTGCCAAAGGCTATACCCATGCACTTAACAGGTACCTTTCATATGTCTATTTGAATATGAGTATTTTACAGACGTATGTCCTCAAAACTGCCAGAGTATTTGTTGTGTTTTCCAGTGATGCCAGTGTATTCAATTTATAGTACAATAGCCTTTCCTTTCCTACAAGTATACTTGTAGTGGCAGAATCACCAAAGAAAACGATATTTAGGAGTTGGACACAAAACATAAAAATTCCAGTATTTTTTGTGCTCATGCATGTGTACATGTATAAATGGAATATTGACGTTTTCTCCTTGGGATGACATGACATTTTGACTCAAGTATATGGAAATTTGCATTACCAGTAATTTGCAAATACATGTAAACAGTAAAGCACCAACTTCAAAAAGCAGCCAAAAACTGCAAGTATGATTAAAATTGAAATTGAATGGGTACAATTTTCAAGGGTAATACAGTTACACTGCACGAATCCTTTAAAGTTTCAGATTACATGTTCAATTTGCGTTGGTGCACCATAGAACAAGTGTTTTGACTAAAACAATAATATCACATGAGCCACTTCTTTTTCCAGTTGGAATTAAAAAAAAGCACATCAATGATGCTCTATGTGCAAGAAATGTAGCAATAAGCTGTCTGTTTTTTTTCAGTCCCATATTTAGCCTACTGTAACCTTTTGAAGATCCTCCATACACAGCTTGGTGTCAACAAAGAACAACGCCTTAAACACTCATCTTTTGAGGAACCACAAAAGATCAACATGCACATTCAACTCTCTATGGGATTATAGCCTCCAGTAGACATCTACTGGCAATTAACCAACCAAGGGATAAACACTGTACATACATGTACAGGTACTCTATGTACACTACAAAAACATGTACATGTATCAACAAGAACATTAAGGTAATTTTCAGATAAACCACAGGAAGTGTTGATGGCCACCGAGTTTCCCATTGATATCTTTCCCCAAATTCTGCTGCTTGTCCAGAAGGTTTAGAGGTGTGATAGAAACAAACACCTGATGGGGACAATAATCAAGCACATGTGTAGGTAGGCAATTCTGGAGGTTATTACTATAATAGAGATTGCTTTCTGTTGTGATAACACTAGTGCACTTGCGAAAAGCATGGATAGGAAAGGATAGGGCTGCCAGTCTGTAATCTAAGCTTATGGAGTACAGTGTATTGCTAGAAATGTAAATTAAGACTAAGAGATTGGGATAAAAAAAGTTGACGACTCTTTTTACAACTTAAAGGATATACATGTACGTGTACATGTACACAGTTTCACTCAGCAAGCTAAAGAGCCTAAATTATTCTAAAATTATTTTGAACAATTCCTAACTTTTACATGCAAACAGGATCGTTTCAAGCTATCCACACCTTTAGATCAATATGTAGCACCAGAGGTCTTTCTGTGCTGACTGAATTTATCACTATGCAATGATAAATCATTCATGAACAAACTGCTAATTCAAATTAACCACTTTTAGTTTCCCACACATAAAAATTTGTATGGAGGGAGTTATAACTCAACCGACAGCAGTTGAAAAATTGCTAATGCACAGTTGGTAGATGCCACAGCCATCAGCTGTTTGTGAGGCTACAAGTACATGTATATCTTCTTGAGTTGCTCAACATGGGATGCATTCATTACTTGGCAAATTTTCACTTGCATAGCCACATCAGGTGGGACCAAGTCCCAAAGACACTACAGTCATCCTTGTTTGGTACATCGCTGGGCAGTTTTAGCAAGAAACTCTTGCCAAAGTAAACACTGTTCTCCACTAAGAACATAGGTGTGTGAAATATGTCTAGCACTGTGAACTTGCAGGATTAAAAACAATATTGCACATGGGGGGGGCAAAGAAACAAACATGGAAAAATTCACTTGCTAAGCTCTTCCAAGACAAACACTGCAGACCATCAGCCTCTTTGCAATGTTGTTAACAGAGAGCTTTCTCATGAAGAGACACAACTTGAAATTCCCAATGTCCACAAATTTGTTCCTCTGTGGAAATAGCACCAATATTAGGGCACTTTGAATAGGAATGCAGAACTTATATTCTTTTTTTTTCTGTGATTACATGCATAACTGTTCCACCAGCATGAAAATTTTATTAACTTAAAAAATCTGCTTAGCAAGACAGGGTCACCAGCCAATATGCCAAGCTACAATGTATCTGTAGTAACTGGTCCTGGGTTTATTTCTGCTTGGCACAAAAATTTTCTTCCACTTCTGCCTAATAATTCTAAGCTGCTGGACTTTTAAGCATGAACAAGTGTAAACAAGGTATTGATAAATATCACAAGTATTTCCATATGGTCTCCTGAATATCATGTCAATACATCATTATCATAACAACTGATTTTTGAGTGTTGATTTTGAGGGCATTTCTGCCATCTTGTTTGTATAATTGAGAAAAGAAAGATGGTGGCCTCTGATTTTCGAACAAAAACAAAATTTCCAGTGGGAAGCTGGGTGTGAATTTGCCTTTAATCTGACACATGCATAACAAAAGAAGTGATAATCTTTTACATGTACCTGTGATGTTTATTTTGAAGCTTAAGAGTACATTTACAGGTTGCTGACACTTTGTTGACACTTATTATGTATGCTGTTGAAGTTTGTTGACACTAATTAACCGATCCATTCTGTAAAATAGGCTCCAGCCCTGAGGCTTACCAGGCAGCTGTTCAATTTTGATGACTCCAAAGCCAAAGAGTGCAGCCAAGCTTGCCACAATGACGAAAACCCCAATGACCACTTTGAGGCAGAGTCCCGATGAAGAATCACTCTTGGCTTTGCTGGTGCCTCGGTTATTCTTGTTCACATCTGAAAAAAAATTCATGAAATAAACTTCTACCAGAAGAAGAAATTTGGACTTTGATTTGGCCCAATTTTTCATGTAAAAACAACAGTCTCCCCCAGTTAATCCACCCTTTCAGTTTTAAAAAATCAACCAGAATATTACCATTTCTTTAAAAATACTTAAAGTTTACTTTTATTGTTTTTTGGTTTTTTATTTTGTTTTTCCTACTGAATGCCAAGCCACTTTTTACTGTTTGATAAACTACTGTAGGTACAAGTTAAAGCTACAAACTGGCAAGCAAGGAATTTCAGTAGCTCAAGCTTAATGAAGGGTGGTGTTGGATACCATCAGGTGACTGGAATGACCCATGATCATGTTACACTCTCAGTTGATCCTGTGTGATAAAACAATCTTTCCACATCTCCAAATAAGAATGAGAAGGCAGTTGGTTGATGGCAGAATTACATGTATTGCCGAGTCACATGATAAGAATGACAGATTGAGCAAAGATCAACCGATCGAGCTTGTTACGCCCAAACTATAGTGTCTGTCTCAACTACAGTTGGGACAGTCCCAACTATTGCACTGCAGTTGGGTTGCCCATCTGTAGTTGGCAAATTTCTATGGAAAACATCTCAAGCTTCTCCATGTTTATGCAGCTTACACCTGACATACATACATGTAGCACTTCATCTATGACATCAATAACACTTATTTTGGCTCTGACACTCAGTATGTTCTAGCACGAGTCCAGTTGTCCACAATGGGCCTCTGTGCCAGCCCAACTATAATAAGGACAGTCCCAATAAGGTATAGCTGGGACTGACGCTATAGTTGGGGCGTAAAAAGCTCAGTAATAGTCTTGAACACACTTCTATCAGGTCTGTAAAAAACTTCTTAGAGGTACATTCACTTGATTAAACCATAATTGATGGCAGATTTTGCACTTGAACTCAACTGAGTGCATCATACATTCTGTGCATGAATGGAAGGAAAGATTTTCATAAACGATCGTGCTACTAATTTCCCCTACAGTGACCACCTGAAAGCAATCAGATGTCTTTACAACTTATAAAGTTAAATTAAGCAGTGAAAATATGGAGGTACCCAGGGTAAGCTGATTGCCTCCTCCGTTGCCATGTTGATTTTAGCGGCCCCACATAAATAAGTGAACAAAGCTAGAGGGGAACAAATTGTCTACAACAATAACAATCACGAGCACTCATTCGCCAAACGTTAAGCTGTGTTGTTGTCATGAATTTGTTCCCCTGGGAAGAGTTCCATATACGGATGCCTGTAATTATTTCCTACACACAGTGACCTAAAAGACGTCAAAAAGCAAGAACAAGTCCAGAAAAAGTTCAACTTAGGAGGAAAAAAACAAGTTGTTTACGTAGAAAACATTAAAAATTTCATAACAGCCTCGCAGGATTTTGCACAGGATGTCAAGTGGTATCCGTATGTGGAACTCTTTCCTTTACTTCCCCTCTCTCATGTCTGTTCAGTCTTCTCAGCATGCACACATGACAAGTAAAAAAGGCTTATTCACTCATAGTACCCCAAAAACTGTGGGGTCCGATGTCCACCCCACTCAGTGGGAGCAGGGCAGAAGTGACATTGGACCCCACACAGTTGGGGTACAATGTAGATCACTCACTGCGACCATGGACACATGATGGAGCTAGGAACTGTTGCCTCAGAAACACTAATTTTTTTTTCAAAGCAGTCTCATGGGCTTGAGTACAGGTTATCAAGCGGCGTCCGTGCATGGAATTATTCCCAATTGCCTGTTTAAAGACAAAACGTGCCTTGGACATGGACCGAAACAGAAGTTCAAGACAGCCACTTCCCCTTTAAATAAGTCACGGGAAAATACCTGCTCGGTCAATTCTGGCCATGCTCACCTTTCGTGTTGGTCGTTTTCGAGCCATTTTTGCCGGCTGTTTTCCTCTGCCGAGCTTCCTGTCCAGATTTGCCCATGTTTGCACTAATCAGTGAGATATGGGAGGCGATCAAGGCGCTGTCTCGGTGATTTTATTGAACTTTTGCAGGTTTCTCACAAACGTTTTACACCAGCACGCAGTGTAGACTTCTATTCCCGGCAACGAAATTCGCTGTGCGACGACAGCACACGTATTCACTTGCAAATTAGGAGAGTTGACACGTGTGACATGCCTGGGTAAATATAGTCTGGCCCTATTTACCGTGAGTAGTAGCTTTACACTGTTGTTCGGCTGGATTTCTGACTAAATTCATGACGTCAAATGTTGATAGACCTTTCCAAAATTACCCATTAGAGGGCGCTTCTAATGGTCAACAGATGGTAATTTTTGGTCAATCAACTCGGCGGATAATTGACCCTTCAGAATTGGTTGTAAAAAACATAATCCGTGTGCAAGATTCAAGGGCAGTTTTGAAACGTAAAATTTGTACAGATTGAGCCAGGGAGAGTTGAAGTTGGGTGAGTATTGAGATGAGGGGATGCATGTGACTCGGGTAGGCTTTGGCCCTGTGCCAGTAGGGTAACGTTACTTATACATGTACCATACCCTCCATGCCCCAACTATGGGGGCCGACGTTCGCGGGAGAGGAGCGGACGTCGGACCCCACAGTTCTGGGGGTAGGCTAACGATACGTCAGGCCATCCTCGCTCTATGTTTAGGCCTACATTTAGTTTTTTTTCTGGAAGTCTAGCTGACTCACAAATGAAGTAACCGGTCGGCCTACCCATATGGCCATATGAACAGTACTGCTACTGGGCCTACTCTTTTAGACCAGTTACTGTGATCACTCTCCAATCTCTTACCTGGTACTGTGGTAGTACGTTAGGGCCTAATATCAATAATGTAATAAACAATTTTCGTACAATTAATCATGTTTATTTTTTGAAGCAAATTTAAAATATTATGTTTATTACACGTACTATTATACTTGGTGAGTATATGAACTGCACTAACTGTATCATGTTTGTCGGAAATTTTGAATTTTGCATTGCCAATGAGTGTTCCCATGTATGCAGTTAGCAATACTCGTCCAGGTAATCAATAACTTATGGCCTCAGGATTATTTCTATTCAAACAGAGTAAAAAATTTGTAAGTTTTTAAGTTTTGATAAAAAGATGTAATTTTTCCAAAGTTGTAAATTTTCCTTCACCGTGTCTGACATTACCTTCTGCCTATCTCTTAATAAACAATTATTTCTAATGCCGCCCCACCCTTGGATATCCTTGTTAAGTTCCCATACATGTTTGTCAATATGCCAAAGGTGTCTGAAAGCACATTTTAACTGTGAAGATGCCCAGATTTTTTCAGAATCAAAATAAGGGCTTCTGCACTGAAAAACAATTTACATGTACGTGCATGAAGCACACCCCAAATCTCCATTACAGTAGTCTTACATCAATCATACTTTTACCCTCCAGGATGATTGATAGTGAATAATAATGTTGGCATTATTGTTGCAATTTTTTTTGCGTTTCTTACGCAATTTGAAGTATTTACAGCGGATATTTAGAATTGCTAACATTAATTATGAATAAAATAGTTCAGATCTAACGAGATGGTTATAATTCTCAGAGAATTAAAATTCAGAAAGAAGACATTTTAAATATTGTTTCAGACATTGATAAAAGAATAAGTCCACTAAGAAAATGAAATTCGCGATACCCACATACCAGTATTTATTTTGCCTTCATCTAAACATGTAATAAGATGAATGTCAAAGTTGTTGCTGCATTTTAGATTGGTGTACAAAAGTTCTGTTAAAAAAAGAGAAGTCATTCCTTGCTGGGTCAATAACTTGTGTAACCATGGAGCTCCATGATGTAACATGACAGTGTAGTCCCCATCTCGTTCTCTCGACATATGGCATCTTTAAGGAGAACACAGGAAAAAATGGAGTCAGTTATCGGTAAAATGAAACATTTTTACAACATGAGGCTATTTTGTTTCTTCTGAAACCCAAATCATTCTCTTTATCTCTATTTTGTTCATAATAAAGATCTTTAATGGCCATCCTAGAGAACATTTCTCGATACCACGATAATAGAGATTCCACCTCCGCTTGCATACAGTGCGCACACAGATTTTCTGTGCTACCTGTATCGTAGAGGAAAATAAATTGAACCACAAACAAAATTTCGTGAATAAAGTTAAAACATAAGAGTTAAACAACAACAAGGACAGGATAATTCAGGAAGGTGAGCGAGCAATCTTTATCTTGATAGGGAAATGTGATAACCACCGTGATAATAGAGTAACCCATCCCATGTAGGCCTAACCACTTACATGTACGTTAGGCCTATTAAGATTTGCCCTCTCTAACTTCCACATCTGTAAATTTAATTTTGCAAATACCGATTGTTTCATCAATGCCCAATATACAGTTTTGTATCACTCTAGCAGGGAGAGGAGGTTCAGTACCTGGGGAACAGGTTTCAAATGTATACGTGTACATCCAATTGTTGCTGTTTATGACACTTGAAAACTATGTTGATCCAATGAGAAAATACAGGGTGTGATTTTTGAATCAGGGAGGTGCAGAAAAAATTGTATCTCGATTGAGTGATGAGACATCTGCACCAATACGCAGAAGGTCCTGGGTTTATGTCCCACTGGAGTATGCTTGTGAAATTTTTCTCACACCCTTAGACAGCACTGAGTACATGTAGAGTCTTTATACGTTTGTGTGGGCCCCCCACAAAAAAAGTGTTAAAATTTAAGAATTCTTTCCTGCTTTTCCATTTCTAAAAGAAATTTTACACATAATTTGTTGCAGTCCTGACAGTCTTTGGTTTTAGGTAAAATCCATGTGTTTCTCTCTAATTTTTCAAATGTTCTTAACAGCTTATGTGGTTGTCCAAAACTAACTTTTGCAGCCTGGGCAGTCATCATTGCTTACCCGGGCATGGTTTGTACTCATTTTGTAGAGATTTTTAGGAAACTGAACATTGCATGGTACAATGTAGAATATTGTGCATCCCGGTATATCATGTAGCCCTCCAGTGTTTACGCCCCAACTATAGCACCAGTCTCAACTACAGTTGGGACAGTCCCAGCTACATGTATAATGCTAGAATATGTGTTAGGCAGGTCTACCTGTGGAGCTGATTGCGGTGTGTTAGGCAGGCCTACATGTGCCTGTGGAGCTGATTGCGGTGTGGTAGGCGGGCCTACATGTACCTGTGGAACTGATTGCTGTGTGTTAGACGGGCCTACATGTACCTGTGGAGCTGATTGCGGTGTGTTAGGTTGGCCTACCTGTGGAACTGATTGCGATGTGGTACGCGGGCCTACCTGTTGAACTGATTGCTGTGTGTTAGGCGGGCCTACATGTACCTGTGGAGCTGATTGCGGTGTGTTAGGTTGGCCTACCTGTGGAACTGATTGTGGTGTGGTAGGCGGGCCTACCTGTGGAACTGATTGCTGTGTGTTAGGCGGGCCTACCTGTGGAGTTGATTGCGGTGTGTTAGGTTGGCCTACCTGTGGAACTGATTGCGGTGTGGTAGGTTGGCCTACCTGTGGAACTGATTGCGGTGTGGTAGGCGGGCCTACCTGTGGAACTGATTGCGGTGTGGTAGGCGGGCCTACCTGTGGAACTGATTGCTGTGTGTTAGGCGGGCCTACCTGTGGAGTTGATTGCGGTGTGTTAGGCAGGCCTACCTGTGGAGTTGATTGCGGTGTGTTAGGCAGGCCTACCTGTGGAGTTGATTGCGGTGTGTTAGGCAGGCCTACCTGTTGAGTTGATTGCAGTGTGTTAGGCAGGCCTAATGCCATTTCGTGTAAATCATGATTATGCTCAAACACCAAAAACGACCATATACAGTACATACATGTACATGTAAATGCAGTCAAGGCTTTTCACTGACTGTGTCTTTGTGGAGAGAACTTGTGTACATTTATTCCCTTCCAATTATTAACCACATCATTTCTTTGTTGGATCAGTATCTCTTCACGGGCACCCATGTTCGATTTTGATAACATTGGATTGGATATGGTTAGGGGTGTGGCTTCTTGGATCTGCATGTAGTTGTACAACAAAATTTCATTGATTGTAAGGAGAGATGGAAGAGATGATTTTGTCTGGAAGGATTAGATTCTGGCATTGGAATATTCTGTTTCTGCTAGTTGTTTTCCTCAACTTACATTTGTAAATGTTTCTATACATGCACTAGTACATGTGGTCCAGTACTTCGCTTTTTGGGGGATGCTGAGATTTCCTCAGTTTTAGGATGTTGTATTGCACACATTTTTACAATCTGTTCTTGAGAAATTTATACCGGTATATTTTGAAAAGCGAGTGGGTGTGAAATACACTAAAGAGAGATTGTGTGCAATGGTTAACTGCAGACAGTGTAATGAGAATTATATTGGATAATAATTACAAAGTGCATTTCTACATGAATGTGAAATTGATGACTTTACATACATGTACGATGTACTGTGCATGCCTGAAAAATGTCAGCAAAATCTGTTGACAGACAGCCGGTGACAGCTTTTAGTTCTGTGGATTTCTCAGAGTCGTACTGGTACAGCTTACCAAATTTGATACTGTTGTATTATCCTGCCAGCTGCCGGATAGGTTTCTGAGCCGCAAGCATTAGGTTCTCACTGATACGACCGTAATTAACAGACAATGACACTGTCTCGGTCGTTTGCTCTACAACTGACAAAATCTTTATTGAAGCTCTCCTCAATAAAATAGGGTTGACAGACTGATAACTGATCAGTGAGTTGACGGATTGTTTGGATGGTCTATGGGTGGACGGACCAATTTGATGGGTCGACAGACAGACCCCTGGATATGCTTACTTGGCTTCTCTCCTTCTACTGGCTACATGTACATGTACATCTGCCTCCACACAAATTAACACAGACGCCACTTGGGCCCATATGGCTACTGTGAAGACTCAAATGTCGGGCTGTTGACCAGTGGTCTGCTGGGTGGTCGTGCAGACTGAATTCTGACCCTGGCATAGGCCCTTAAATGCCTGTTACAGTCTCTTGATGGACATTTCCATCAAGAATATGATTGGTCATTTGCAAGTTTGACCAAACCTTCCTTCAAAGATTTGACCAATGGGGAAACTTATATGCAAATCAAACTTTGAGGAAGGTTTGGTCAAACTTGTCAGTTGTAGAGCAAATGACAGAGACAGTGTCATTGTCTGTTAATTCCGCTTGTATCAGTGAGAACCTTGCACTTGCGGCGCAGAAACCTATCCAGCAGCTGGCAGGATAATACAACATTACAATCCATGACTGTCGGTTCCAAAAGTGTGTGTAATTGACACTGAATGACCCTTGACCTGAGAAATAAAGAGTTTATTGGCTTCACTGGCAATCTGGCATACACTGTACATTATATCCAGTATGTTACTGTACCGGTACCTTCAAAAACATGCCCCACTTATGAAATTATAACAAAGATTGCAAGCTTGGAACTTTTTTAAGGGGCCATTTCTAGGTTTCATTTGGAAGAAGGACACCAAATAGCGACCCCAAAGAATTTATGCACATTTATAGTTTTTCATACCGAACAAATTATTTTTACAATAAACATGAATGTGTTATCCTGAGGCAGTAGCAGAAAGTACATCACACTGAGTATTAAGTACTGATACCACCAAAATGGCAGAAAAGATGGATGGTATTTGGTGTTCCCTTACAGGTGAAACAGTAATGGTAAGCATTTGGGCTTTCCTGGGGGTAAATACATGTACATCCACAGTATACTTTTACATGTTTTAGGTGCAGTTTCTAAGGAATGTCAATTTTTTTTTTAAGGTTGACCCAAAAATACATGTACCGGTATTTGAGAATCTCCCATCAATCAGTTTCTATTATTGGTCAAAATGTCGCTAGTTGGTACCCAAATTTGCATATATATAATAAGCCACATACCGGTAGTCATGTACCGGTATAAGTACCGTACATGTCTGTTCAATGTACATAAAAGTAACCGGCATTTACTTGTATTTGACGTATTTGATTTGCTGGTAATGGAATATCGTGCATGAACGACAGTTGGGGGATAATTGGATTGCGTGCACAGTATACACATACAGGTATGTACATGTACCAGTACCAAACATTTACATGTACCATAGGTGCATCTATAATACAACGTTCTCAGACATCCAGATAATCAGTAGCATCTTATTGTGATCCTGGAAATTCCATCAACTTTATTTTGCAACTTGTGATATTTGGGATACAGGCAGTTTTGAAATTTCAGGCATTTTAGCACATTCAGGTAACCCCTGGGCCGAAAAAAGGCCAGGAAGGTAGCATATTGGTACTCGCTTTATTTGATATTTTTGTCGTTGTTGATGTACCAATAAGCTTTGTAAAGTTACTATTAAACAAATTGAAAACTTGGTTCCAAAAAATGCAATTTTATTCACAAGTTGTCTCGTACATGACACCCCCATTGTATTGGTTTTGTTCAACTCCAAAGGAATTGTAATCCTTACATTTGCCTCAATTGTTGTGGGGCAGATCACCACAGACAGTCGTACCGTATGACAAATATACATGTACATGTATGTGCATACAGTACAGACTTACACGACCTTACGATTATGAAATGTGCCAATTTTTTTTTTTTTTTCAGCACATCTATGTCTAAGTTGACATGTTACCGGTATAAACATGTGCTTGTATAAGACATGTGCTGGCACTGTCAATCAATTACCGGTAAGCTGAAATAGACGCTTGTAGGAAATTGCACACGCACATGAAGCACTGGAGTTACTGGTACGTTTACGTGTACATGCACACTGGATTGCCAAATGTAAGTTTGGCATGTTCAGGAAACCCCTACTCATGTGTCATAATATTGAATGTGAACTACATGTATGGAGCTTCAGAAACAAAGCCGTAGCTTACAACGTGCACATTTTGTACTGTATGTACATGTTCGTGTTCCTGTAGTTTGTGTAATGCTCCCACTCAGCAGTGCATGTGGAAAAGTCCTGGGTTGTACAACTTCCATATGATAAGTCCAGAAAGTGTGAGAATGTTTAGATTTTTGCTTACAAAGATACAGTGTTGTTGGACTTCAGTTACCAGCATTCATTGGCCTAATTGATAACCTTCTAAAAAGTTCAAACACGTTGCCATACGCTAAGTACATGTAACTGTTCTGTGTATGGGTATTTACATGCTGTTGTCTACACATACTGTGTACTGTACTCTGCTAGTGCTGCAGGTGAAAACGAGACAAATGTCACATTGATGTACAGAAATGCTGCTCTTTGCGTGAGTGAGGGATGGGGTACATGTATTTTTATAGTGCAACAGTGTCCCTTTGATGTGAACACACCAAGTCTTGACCAGAGTAGCCTGAGACCT